CGTATATATATATATATATATATATATATATATATTTATTTATATATAAAGATAGTTAAATGAAAATAATTGAAGCATGAGAATTAATATTTGGATAAACACGTATCTTCATTCGCTTGTAAATAATATCCCGCACAGCATTCTTTTAAAACTGTTTTTCAGGAAAATGAATATAATCTAAACCTACTTCTCACATGTTTACAACGTACACCAGTTAATGTAAACGCTATTTTTGTGTGTGTATTATTCTATTGCCTGTATTTAGTTATTACATCACGAAGTTATACTTATGTTTATATGATGCGTGAGTTATGCGTTTTACTCTTCAAGATATGCTTTTTAAATATAATCATTTATGTTGAGATGTTATGTGCATCTTTCTTTCACCGCAATGCCTCGTTGTGCTTAACAACAATCAAGGAAGTTAAGATTTGAGTGCTTGTTCTTTATATCTCGCCTTTTTCCAACCGAAGAGTAATTAAGAAAAGATATCCTCCTATCACATTGTAAAGTACCGTTTTATCTTCGAATTAAAGGCTTGTCTGTATTTTCTCAACTGGAAAATTGTGTGCTAATTAATTAATTGCTGATTTTTGAAACCTTCTAGAAGGCTTCTAGTAACTTGTAACTTGAACTGCTGTAAACGAACAACAATGTTAACGTTTCAAAAACAAAATTTACTGCAGCACTTTCAACGTTTTGATCTTAGCATTGATCACAAAAAACAACAACATATTAACGTGTTCAAAATAGTTTTATCTGATCAGAATGCGCAATTATATACGTAAATTGATTTCATGCGTAAGGTGTCTGAGAACGGTTAATACTATTTCATTTTTATCAAAATTGATTTATTAATATGACAGAGTCTAGACTGATAGATAAATATTTTAAAGTTTTTTTTTACCAATATAGAAGGTTCAGAGTGTTACGTTAAACTGATTTGAATTTTCAAATCAGTAAGTCTCGTGACAATCACAGCCGATACAAAAAATACGGGAGAAAGGCAAATACCCAATTACATTTTGACAACGATTGGTATCGGATAGGTGTGATATTTAGGTTGATTTTAGGAAGGGTATGTAACATCCCTTTCCAGTTCAAAATGTTCATACACTCATATTATAAAGATGTGTTCCGATTGGGTATTTAGAATTTCCAAGACAGAAATAACCTGTGTACTTAATCGCATTGGGAAGTCAAATAATATGGATCAACTCGGGACGCAGGATTATCAAGAAGTAGACCAGCAACAAGTCGTACCTCAGCCGTGGTAAGTCAACTACAGATCTTTTAACAGGTGAGAATCCACGAACACAAAGGTCAGTAGCAAAAGCCATTTATGCTCTCCAGGCAGCAGTACGCAACATAAGGAAGAACGATATCCTTTAAAAACAAAGCTAACAGGGTAAGAGTTCACAAAGATAAGACTTCTAGTCATATCTCTCATTCAACCATCGTATACATGAAACAACTGGTAAATGAAGCGGGTATTTATCCTGTTCCGTACGAAAACATACCGGTAAAGCAGCTGTACATAGCGGCTATTCATTTCTCTGCTATCGGACCGTTGAAATCAGTGCTGTAAAACCATCGTTTTCGTGTTGTAGATATACTTATGGAAAGCTTGCAGGGAGGGCTTTCGCAAAAGAAAAAGTTGACGTAGCGACATGGACTGTAACGACGTGGTAAGGATCCAGAATTGTTTTAAAATATCGTACCCAGCCTCTGCAAGTTAATTAGCTTTTACAATGGGTAAACGAACACGTTCGTTCATACAAAACTTATTACAGTAAGACATACACTCCAAAAATTCATTTTATCTTCATTTTACCGATCTTAACTTAAAGTTGTTCTAAGAAAAAATGTAATGAATCAAACTTAAAGGGTTAACAATATTTTTTACTTTAGAGTCACTCAAATAGAATACACGTAGGTTAGCAATATTTTTTGCTTTAGAGTCACACAAATAAAATATACGTGGGTTAACAATATTTTCTGCTCTAGAGTCACTCAAATAGAATACACGTAGGTTATCAATATTTTCTGCTCTAGAGTCATTCAAATAAAATACACGTGGGTTAACAATATTTTCTGCTTTAGTTTGTTTGTAATTAAGCACAAAGGTACACAATGGGCTAAATGTGCACTGCCCACCACAGGTATCGAAACCCGGATTCTAACGTTGTAAGTCCGCAGACATACCGCTCTGCCACTGGAGGGCTTCTGCTTTAGAGTCACTCAAATAAAATACACGTGGGTTAATAATATTTTCTACTTTAGAGTCACTCAAATAAAATACACGTGGGTTAATAATATTTTCTACTTTAGAGTCACTCAAAATACACGCTTGCAACAGAAATTGGTTGACTTTTCGAAATTAACTGAAGTTGTAAGCAACATTTATTCTACTTTTAAATATATGTACTTGTATAATGTCGCCATGTCTTCGGTTGCCTTAAAATATTCATACTTGATTTCTCAATAATTTTTGTACACTCTTCTGTGAAGGATTCTATTTGTGAAACTTAAAACCGTAACAAGATTTAGAACCCATAGAGTTGATCATAACTTTGAAGAAAGAATATTATTACCATGTATTAATTGTACACTTGACGCTCATGAACTATACTTCCTGGTGGAGCGCATGATTGGCAGTTTAATATGTTTTATGCATATAAGAAAACAGGTAAATCTAAATAAATAGAAGATAATGGAAAACGAAATATAGCGTAATAAAGTGTTTTAACGATTAATGACGTCCAAGCCTATGCTAATATTTTCTGATTAAGTTTATTTCGGAAAATGTTAACTATTCAGCCTTTTCAAAAATCGATTGTTCAGCCGTAGAAGAAACAGTTGCTGCATAGCTTCCAGACATGGATTTCTAATTCACCATTTGCAGCTAATAATGTGTTCAGTCAAACGCAACTTTTAAATGAAACATTGTTTATTTGTTTTAGCACAAAGCTACTCAATAAGCTATTTGTGTTCTTTCCACCACAGGAAATCGAAAACAGGATTTTAGCGTTGTAAGTCCGTAAACTTGCAACTTACCCATTGGAAGATGAATGAAATATGATTCCAAATATGTTAAAACTGTATCAAAGTTTTGCAAGAACCCATTAATGTCTTTAGGAGGATCTTCAAGAATTAACTGTTGCACACAAGGTGATATTGAATGTCTTTAGGAGGATCTTCAAGAATTAACTGTTGCACACAAGGTGATATTGAATGTCTTTAGGAGGATCTTCAAGAATTAACTGTTGCACACAAGGTGATATTGAATGTCTTTAGGAGGATCTTCAAGAATTAACTGTTGCACACAAGGTGATATTGAATGTCTTTAGGATGATCTTCAACAATTAACTGTTGCACACAAGGTGATATTGAATGTCTTTAGGATGATCTTCAAGAATTAACTATTGCACACAAGGTGATATTGAATGTCTTTAGGAGGATCTTCAAGAATTAATTATTGCACACAAGGTGATATTGAATGTCTTTAGGAGGATCTTCAAGAATTAACTGTTGCACACAAGGTGATATTGAATGTCTTTAGGATGATCTTTGAGAATTAACTATTGCACACAAGGTGATACTGAATGTCTTTAGGTTTGTTTGTTTGTAATTAAGCACAAAGCTACACAATGGGTTATCTGTGCTCTGGCCACCACGGGTATCGAAACCCGGTTTTTAGCGTTGTAATTCCGCAGACTGGGGGAGAACATGTATTTAGGATGATATTCAAGAATTGATTTTGCACACAAGGTGATATTGTTGTTGATCTTCCATATAAGAGATAAGCAACCAAGTTAATTAGATATCAGAAACTTCACATGTTTATCACCCTGAAATAATTTTATTAGCCTCACTGACTATGCAACATCCTAAACAAATGGTTCAATAACAATCAGGAGATATTGATTAAATTCGCGCTTTTGGGAAGTTATTTTCCCGTTAAAATATTTTCGCAAAATATTATGTAATAATCTGTGAAAATATTAAAATATGTAACCTGATGTGAAGAATTTACACAAAACTTTGAAAGGTTAACTTCTATCATTACATAACTAAGAACATTAACCACAGCGACAATTAATTAATTATTATGTTTAGGTCCAACCAGCATATTACGAAACATTCTAGGATATCAGTTAGTATAATATTCTATTGGATGATTCATAATTCATTGTTATTAGGTACTTAAACGTTTTACAGTTTACCTAGAAAACACACTTAAATGTCATTCATTTGAACCTTAGATTTTTTATTTAACAACAAGTGAAATTAATGATTTTCAAAAAAATAAGTAAAAATTTTAGAAGTAAATAATACAAATTAAAAAACTGAGAGATAAAAATTCCTTCTC